AGCAACTATTCAGAAAACATCGAGCGATTGACATGGTTGAGATAGTGGGTCATGCGTGTCTTCTATTCATTCATATCGTATTTCTCAACTGATGTTCTAAACTTCTACTTATGTATTGAAAGAGAAGATATTTCTGTATAAGACGGAAACTTTCTCTTACACTAGATGAAGGTAGAACTTCTTTTTTCACCATTGTAATTACATTATTGATGAGTGGGGACCAATTCTTTTTGTTTTTTATTTCTCAACGAAATCCGACTTGAGAAAACAACATAAAAGCTTGACGAGATTTAATTGTAGCTGCGAGTGTGGGTAAGATTATTGTTTTCTTCCATACTCACGCCATATCCATTAATAGAAATTTTTCTTTATTTAATACGACAATAGCAAATCCATTATTGCAACAAAGTGTTTGCTTGACTATATAATCTTGTGTTACAAATAATACTACATAATTCGTTGATGGGCACATATTGTATAATTCTTTAATGGCTATTTTTCTTTTTGTTTTTAGATCATATAATGATAAAAAATTTTTCTCGATCACTGAATAGTAATGAATTATGATTGCTTTTAGGATGTAGTGAACATTAGTTTGTATTATTTTTGTTTTAATAATTGACTCTGACAATATTTTAGATATTAATGAGTCTCATTGACAACACAACATATGTTGATGAACTTGAAATTTATTTAAGAAAAAGAATCGAAGCAACATTTAAGGCTAATGATTATAAACGTAAGTTATATATAATACCACTACTAATTACATTAGAAAACTTAAACTCTTTATTAAGGATGCCTCAAAGACAAAAAAAAGTCATTTTAATTGAAAAGTGAGTAAATATAATATCACCAAGTCGAACAAACACGGTCGTAAGTGACCGTATCTGGAAAAATACGGGTAGGTGTGGGTGTGGTTTTCCTCTTCCCTCAATTGCACACACGAAAAAAATTCTTACTCTTATGTTTTCAAAAATGGATCTCTATGTATTGTACCAAAATGAGATTGCCATAAAATCTCTTTGTAGAATGATGATTTTGTATGAGATAACAGAACGAGTTTTTTGCAGAAAAAAATAAAGGTTTACACATTTTTCTGTTTAAAAAGCATTTGTTTTCAATCCGAAAGCTTTAACCAAAATTCGATTGAGATTCACTGTTGAAGGGTGAATTCGTCTACGCTTGCATCGAACGACGAATATAGTATTTTTTATATGAATCCCGAGTTTTCGCCATTGATGCCAAAAACGAATATCTAATGCTGCAACAATTATTGGATCACATGCTATTTCCATAAAATTAAGTAGCGTAACGACATTCATCACATTCTGTTGACGAAGTGACAGTTGGAAAATAATAACATATGGTGACCAAAGTACACCCCAAATAAAATAAAAACAAAGAAATTGAATGACTAACGAACGATGATATTTTTCACGAGCTGAAACATGATGTTGGGTCCCTTGTAAAACTGATGTTAAATGAACATGATGAAGACTAGCATAAATCATCAGCATGTTCAAGAACATTGGTAATACATATGCGAAAATTGTATTAAATATTTGAACATAGATATTCGTATAAAATACTTCACAACTACCTCTAATAGAGTCTTTTATCTGAGTCCAACCAACAAGAAATTCACCGATTAAGACAACTAATGGTATTAAATAGATACAAAATTGAGTGAAGATCAATAGTTTCATATGCACGTGGTATACATTTCGATTGTATGCTATTTGTACATAACGACATATATTCAAAGCTAATAGAATATATATTTCAGTTATATTGAAATAATTATCCAGTATTGCTTCAAAATAGCAGTTAAATAAAATCCATTCTCTGTTTGGTTGGCATTCCGTAGATGTTGTGTGAATAATATAACTAAATAAGAAGCGAAAAAGAAGCAAAACATCAGTGAAGAGATACGTATAGATCCATAGGAATATTTTTTGTCGAAGAGCTGAAGAAAAACTAATTTGAAGCCAAAGTATCAAATGCATAAATGAAACAATAATATAAGCATAAAGTTGAGGTTTTG